GTTCTCTCCTAATCTGATTTTTATGATCCCTCCCAGGTAACCGCTAACAGAAGTTATCACAGTGACGTTCTACATCGGAGAATGGTTAGAATTCAGAAAATAATCATGCAACACGGTCTCATTATTATAACATTCACATAAAAAATATTTAAAATATGTAAACTAGCTTGCATGTTTATTGTAAGCCAGTCTATAATCTATTATTGTTTGCACTTTACTTAAATTTAAGTACAAAAACGATACTAGATTTTTGAGAGGTGTGACAGATGAAGTACAGTTTTTAATTAATTTAAGGATGGACCCTGAATTTTAATCAATGCATTAGTCTATGATAAACTAATAATAGTATTCGCTAGTGTATTGATTTGAAATTTTATATTATCACATGTATAATTAGGTATGATCATAATAAGATCAGTATTGTTTGATCATTTTTAATATTAAATTTTGATGAATTTATAATACTTTTATTAACCCTATGGTTAATAATCAGGAGTGATACGGTCAACTAGATCTGTTGACTTTTACTACATTTTCCCATCGTTAAGATAATAATGCAGACATTATTGTTGTATTTAAAAATATTAATTATTTTATAAGTAACATAACATATAACTTATTCATTTGCTTTTAGAAGAAGTAAAGATTCTGTCAATTAACACACAACATTTATTAATTTCCAAATTTAATTTGGATACTCGATAGTATCAACATTTTAATTCGAAGCTATCACACCATTGATCGTAGTACGTTTTTGTAGCTTTTTGCAATGTTATGAATAATTTTTTTTAGCAAATCGTGTCCATTTGCGCATTATGATAATATGCGCAAATGGTTTTCGTTGTTGCATTCAAATGTTTTGCATAATAAAATAATCACTTGTGTTTTAGATTATATAAGTTTTAGTTTAATGCAGAAAAAACGAAGGATTTTATTTTTATGTTTTGTTTACAATCCCTCGTTCATCTTTACTATATTTAATTATAGTTTGTACTAAAAGCAGCTTTTGTGAGCTGTTCATATTCTGTTTCTTTTTTATAACATTGGTATGTATCCATTAAATGGAGTGATTGAATTTATGGATGGCAAAAATGTATGAGCGAATGTGAAATGAATGCATATTATTGTATAAGTAAATATAAGTTTATAAATTTTTATTTGAAAATGATAAAAATATATAAAAACTTACATATATACATATGACAAAACTTTTATCGTACAATAAGGAAGGATATTGTTATTAAAATTAATAAACAATACCGATGTAGACATTTCAAAATATATATTGTGTTTTAGTAAGGAACAAATATTTTTGAGTTTTTTTTTACTTTTATGTAAGCTATCATGTGATGGCTTATATATTTCATGTAAATCCATTTATTTTTCAAATTATATTTTCAGTTCAAAAGTATAACTACTTGATTACTGTGAAACTTTCATATCCATGTTGGATATAAGACAAAAAATATATTACGTAACAAAAGCCAATTAAGGCAAACTTACACCTGGGCATTTACTTGGAATAAATTTACAAAATTTTAAACAAAACAAGTAAATGAAACGCATTTATCAATCAATAACTGCATAAATTCTTCGTGATGTCTCATGTGTTTTAAATTTTTCATAATTCCTAATTTTAATGTTATTTTTATTTCTTTTATGCAAATAGCATTGCAGTGTTTTTTATCAGATATGATTATTTGTTCACAACATTAGGCAATATTTAAAAATAAATTTTTAATTTATTTGTTTTAACAATTTTAATTTTGAATTCATTTATTTAATCTCGTGTACTAAAACTTTTAAATCTACCTGCATGATAGAGAAAGCTTGCAAACTATATATAATTGATGTTATTATTAATATTGGTGTTTATTCTCATTCATCACCTTTCATCTTTGATATAAAAAAATTAAATACTTAACAAATTTATTATTTTAAAAATAAATATTAAACCCAAAATTATTAGCCTAATAAACCAAAATCATAATCACAGTGCAACAATAAACTTAGTTGTTTATTTCTCATGTTAATTTAAATTCTTATTTAATCAATTTTTTATTAAAACTATATCTTGAATGCTAATAAAAAATATGTAACTTAAACATTATAAACACTGCGAATATTATTTTTTTCACAAATTCATTATATTTAATACTTGTCTAGATATATCCATTAATTTAACACCATTGAAAAAATTATATTCCAAATATATTATTGATGTTTATAGCAAATAAATTAATATTAGAAATTATAAATTAAACAACCTGGATTGATTAAATATTTGGAGAGTGCTTTAAAAATTATACTTATAATTAATTCTTCAAATTGTTAAAAAAAAATTAAAATTATTTTGTTCTGATATTGAAAGATATAATATTATTAGTGTAAATTAAAAGCCAATATAAAATAAATAATAAATATCTTATAATTTTTCTTTTATAAGGTGCCCCTAGTTAGTACATAAACAAATAAAAGTTTTCAAAATAAATGAATATATTATATAAAAAAACAAATTAGAAAAAATTAAAACGAGAAAACAAGGGTTTTACTTACCGTTGTGACTAGCAACTTTAACAACAAATTGTTAAATTAAATACAAATAAAATTACCTATTTTAAACATTATTTAAATTATTATTCATGTATATTTTCTACCTAAAGTACTCTCCAATTATCTCCAAAATATTCAATAAATACCCAAAAATTTAATAACCTGAATATATGATTATTATATCAAGATAAAGCTAAATATATAAGTATAAAATTAATGCTAAATGCAGTATAAATTGCATTTGCACTAAAATCTTTACACGAAAAACTGCATTTTGCTTTATTTCTTATCTAATTTAAATAGGTATGATTTCAATAAAATTTAAAATTTTAATTCATAGGATACTAAATAACAATCTCAAATTCTTCATATAAAAATGACTGCATATTTTTAGGATTTATATCTATATGTGTAGAATATATGCTATTATATGAAATATCATAAAAAGCTTATTAATAAACAACAAAAAATTATAAGTTCGAGCAGTTTTAAATTTTAAAATTTACTTTGTTGTTTTTTAATAAAGCTTTTTATGAATCATAGTAGACATTAATATGCCGATATGTATCTCTAAATATTTATAAAAGCGTTTCCATAATTAATTATTAACATTTACTGATATACCCATAAAGAGATAGTTTTTGTTTAATTTTTTTAATAGAATGAATCGCATATCATTCACGGTTTTAATTTTTAAGTAAATGTGTACTTTACAATATTTTTTTCATTTAATAGAGATGACTTCTCGTAAACATAAATTTAAAGCAAAGTCTTACAATTATGTGATAAATTGCACAAAATTATTCATTTTATCTTGAATTACAAGAAATATAGTTATTTTATTTATTATTGTAAAATTAAAAACATTATAGAATTCCATACGTTACAAAGTTTAAATATTTCTCAATATATATTTTTATTTTTCGGCCTATTGCCTCGGAGACTTTTCTTTAAATTTATATTTTCTTGATGCAAATTTTATGGAAAGAACATATTTTGCAAGTTGAGCTGTAAAGCCCTTTTATGATATGTAAAAAATATGATTTTTAATTTACTACATAACTATTTGTAAATATTCACTTGAACATCGATTCTTTAAATTAAAATTAGGAAATGAGAAGAAGATCGATTTTTATTTGAAAAATGTAAAATAATTTCACATTTTCTGTCCTTGCAACTAAAGTTTTTCATAAAATTTAATCATTTAACCCACAAAATGTAGGTATAGTACTATTACAAATGTAGTATTGATTTTATTATTTTTTATTAGATATAATCTATTCGAAATTATTGCAAATGGCTATCAATTCAAAATTGATTAAAACAAATTGAAATGAAAATAAAGTTACAAAAAACCTGATGAAACATTTGAGAATTGACCAATTAATAAAATAAGTGAATAATAATAAAATGCTGTAATGACATATATAGTGTTTAAATCTGTTTGATTAACATACTGATATTTATGTGCATTGTGGACAGTTTTAATATTTAAGTCTTTTTCTCTGCTCATTGGGCAAATCGGCGATATAATTTTCTTACAAAAATTTTAGGCATTTTATGAAATTTGTATATGCCATTATGAATTTCCTTTACTTTTACTTTTACTCATTTTAACAAATTAACTTTTAATGATCCAATTTGTTTACTTGGATCATTTTAGTAGAAAGTTTGGTAAGTCTTTTTCAATTATTGGTACGTTTTACTGATTTACCTCGGTGAGAAAGAAAAAGAACTTATTTAAAATTCAAGATTTATTTCATTAAAGAAATAATTTGAAATTCTTGCAGATTGTTTAACACAGAATAACGACACTTTTGTCAGCTCGCGTTAATCGCAACAAATATTTATTATCACGAGAATTTTTGTGATAAATTAGAAGCAAATCACACGAAGTTATAATGTAATTTTCTATTATGATTTTTTCGCCAAGTGCGAATATAAATAAAAATACAAGTTTTGTTATTTAGTTTCAAAATAATACAAAATATTGCAAAAAAATAAAACAAATGAAATGTATAAAGGAAGAATAAATAAATTGTTGTGAAATTATTTGCTTGTGTTCAAATTCATCCACTAAGCACGTGTACAATGATCTAAATTTCTCTAATAAAGGTCCAAGTCCTAATCGCTCAAATATTATAAATATTTTTAATGCTATTATAAATATATAATTTATAATTTATTATTATATAAATATGTATAATGGTCGACATTAATAAATGTGTGCAACGCGAGTGTTACCAAATTACTAAAAAGCATTATTCAAAATTGAAATGATCGCCATCTCGTACAATAGCAAAAAAGTTTTACTTCAATCGCATGTGAACCTTACGCGCACGCTTTTTATTTCATAACATTCATTTTTGAATTTAAACAGAAACTGCTTACAGTTGTACCAACATGAATTGTTTTTGACATTTAACCTATAATTGTTATCGATCGCTTTGACAGATGATATAAGAGCAAATAAATTGAATGAAACCAAATTATTAAACAACATTTAAATAGCATAATGTAGAAGATCTCTTTCGTTAATTATTAGTTAATAAGCAATGGAGGGCGAAAGATTTTTAATGGCAGCTGGCGTGACTGCAGCTGTTGTAGTTGGTGCTTATGTCCTTTGGGGACCCTCCGGAGGTACGAGATTACGTAAAAGAAGAGGACAAGTTGGCGGTCTTCATAACTTAGGTCGAACCTGCTTTTTAAATGCAGTCTTACAAGCCTTAGCAGCATGCACACAATTCAAACTATGGTTACAAAAATTCAGTGGAAGAGATTCGAAAAGTCTGATAACAACTTTGAATACCGTCATAGAAGTCGTCAACGGTACTCATGTTACAATAAGATCTGACCCTTATACGCCAGGCGATATCTTGCAGTCATTATTTGCTCTTGGATGGGTAATACCACCAGACGAGCAAGATGCTCATGAGTTGCTGCATGTCATCTTGAGCAGTTTGGAAGAAGAAATTAATAAACCGGTACGTAAAATTGGATGTTTATCTGATGCTTTGGGATTAAGTGATTACAGTCTTTTACCTACAAGACCATCAAGTGCAATGATGGTATCTTATGCTGATCGTGATGTTGGCCCGTGGCCAGAAACCCCGGACACAGCACCCCAAAGTCCACCATATCCGCCTTTATCAAATTATACTAGATCTGAAGTTCATACACCAAATTCTCCCCATTCTCCAGATGGGAAATTGATTTTGATTCTCAAATCAATTTGTATGAAGTAGCTGCATCTGCTTCATCTACAAGAAAAAGTCGCCCACGTTATATATCTGAAAGATCTTCACTAAGTAAAAGGTCTTCAATATCTTGCCGTTCTTTAGAACGTGTTGGAAGCTGTGTTCGGATGGCATTATTTGATGAAGTACCAAAAGAACCTAATTATAGTATTCCATTCCATGGTACACTGGCAACACAGTTCAAATGTAAAGAATGCGGATTTAAGACTCCAATTCGCTATGATAAATTTGATAGCATTTCCCTGCATTTATTATCTGACTTGGCTGGATGTTCTTTGCTCCAGCTTTTATATCGTTTTGTGTCACCTGAGATTGTGAAAGATTTTTTGTGTGAAAAATGTAATAAGCGTGAGCCCATAAATGTGTCTAGCATTGAGCAAGATGCAGATTCCATTTCAACTTCTTCATCTTCAGAGGATTCCCAGGTGAGAGCTAAACTTACCAGTTGCATCAAAACTATATATTTTGGAAAACTACCACAAATTCTATGCATACACATTCCAAGAACAATGTGGAGAGAGGGAGGCAATACATACAAGAGAATGGAATATGTATCATTTCCAGAAAACTTGAACATGTCGCAATTTACATATTTACAGTCCGGCTTTGCAACTCAAAACTGCAACTCTGGAAGTATGTCTTTACCTCGTGATTCAGGAGATTTGCACACTCCTGCTTATCGGCTTGTTTCTGTTGTGGTGCATGTGGGTGATACTGAGACAGGACATTTTATAACTTACAGAAGAGGATCCATGCGTAACATGCATAAATGGTATTTTACATCAGATGCAGCAGTGAGAGAAGTTTCATTAAATGAAGTTTTACAATCTGTTGCTTACATGCTTTTCTATGAAAAATGCATGTAAAATTTATAAGAGTTAGTCATAATTCAAATATTTTTAAGTTTTAATAGAATCCTGTGATTTATTTTGTTTTTATTAGATTTCAGCTTGATACACCTAGTTATGACATATTATGTAAAAATATAGCTGTTTTTATCTATGTACATTATTTATTAAGTTATGATACATATATGTTATAATAAATATTAAATATAAAAATAATAATTCAAAAATAATTTATATATTTATATTTTTTAAGACTATTTGCTCTTTGACTCTCCATTTTCTTTATTAACTTCCGGAAGGAGAAGTTTGTTTTCATAAAAAAATCCGATTTGCTAGTTTTATGTTTTCTCGACGTTTCAAGCCGTTCTTAATCGATTGAGACCAAATTTGGAAAAATGGTCCTATAGAACTTACTGAAATATTACGGACAAGTAGTTTAATTTTAAAAAATCATCAAAGTTTAAGAAAATGGGTATATCAAATTAAAAACTAGAATTTTAATACTCTATAATTACAATGTTACAATAATACAATTTTATAGATAATTGCTATATAAATATCAACTTTTTAGTTGTTTTTTGCCCCCTATGATATATATTTTTAAAATATTTGTGGTTACAATCCTGTTGCACATTGCGAACACTTCAGGCGTAAAATTGATTTCTTGTTATTTTTTGTAGTAATCTCTGTAATAGTAATAGTAATTTTTCTGTAATAATCTCTGTAATAAAAATATATTCTATTTCTTAAAATAAATAAATCCAAATAAGCTATTATAAATTTTATATACATATAATCTAAAGGATATCGGATTGTAATTCTAATTTCATATTGTTTACATAACGAAACTTAAACGTCATTTATCATGTTGTTTTCTATTTCATGTTTAACATTTAAGAATATTATTTGTATATGAATATATAATATATTAACTTATTATTATAATAGCATTTTAATAACATAAAATCTAGTTAAAAGTCGACCATGAATATTTGTTATCAAAGGCTGTTGGTATCAAAGTTCAATTTTTTGAAACAACCTTCTTTTCGAGGTTATTGGGAAGTTCAGTCCAAATTTAATGTAAGGAATTTGTCTACGACTACTGCAAAAACAATGAATTTTGTTCAATTTCAAAAAAATGACAACTGCCAAGTACGAACTGGGAATGATGGAACAATTGTTGAGTTACTTTTGAGAGGCAAACCAGCTTCCATGCTCAGTTTATTGGGCTCAGGAGAATTGGAGAATTTAGACTATTTAAATTGGTACTTATAGTTAATAATAAGTTGCTCCTTAACAAACCATTCCTTAACTTCTCCAAGAATATTAACAACATTTTATAGTTGCTACTACCATGGTAGAGATGATACTAAATAGATTTAGTGTCAGGTATAATCATACTTTTAATACGATGGAGATTAATCCAATTGCTATAAC